GCCTTATGTTAATAACAGAAGTCCAGAAGACCATATTAAAATGAAATTTCTACCGAGTTTTAAATCAATTTTTCATCACAGCGAGGGTTAAGTATCCCTGAAGAAAATGGGATATATTTTTTTTAGATATTTAAAATCTGAGAAAGATATCTTCAGGGCCACCCAGTAATTTGTAAACAGGAATTTTAATTTCAAAATAGTCTACATATTTTTTTTTCCTATTTCAACATTTTGGATGCAACCTCTCTCATCAAAGAATTTCTAATCAGGTGCAAAAAGCCTTTAGAATTTAACAGTTGCTATTTTAAATAGCTCAACACCAGCTTGTTCAGAATCTGGCAGTTATCAACCATAAATAAATGCTGGCAGTTCAAAGCAAGCTTGAAAATGTTGTGCAACTCCAAATGAAGCATCCAAAGGCATCTTGGCAATAAACAGCATGTTTCAATCTTGGTTCACTGTCAAGCAGCCCATTACTGGACAGTTAGTATGCAAGAGAGTTCAATCTTTTGAGATTAAAATGTTATTTATAATCCAGGAGATGGCGGTCTCCCTGTTAGTGCAGAATGGCATAGAGCCAACTCGGGCAAAGATTTATGGGACCAGCTTGGTTTGAAGAAAAATAGAGAATATTTCACAGGCAACTCGCTTCAAGTCTCCGTCGTTTCTCCGTCCGGGCGAAACGTGTTTGGGTGCCTATGGGGGTGCTTGGAAACGGACCGAATCGCTCCGTTTCCAAGCACCCCATAGGCGCCCAAACACTTTTCACCCAGAGAGAAACTGGAAGCTTTGTCTGCTTGGAAATGGGGTGCCTGAAAACACCCATTCCTCAAATTTTTGTTTGAGGAATAAAACAAATGAACAAACAAACAAATTGTTGTGATTCCTCGCTAGCCAGTGGGTCCGGCAGCTGTGTCTGAGGAATCGGATGAGGAGGAGGGGCCTGGAGTGACATCAGAGTCAGAGGAAGGCTCTGAGTAGCTCCAAGACTTATAGTCAGACAAGGAGCCTGGTCCCTCTACTCACGCTAAGGCTGAGACACAGCTGTACTGGGAGCCTGAGTTGGACAGTGATGAAGAACAGCTGGGACAAATCCCGGATGCCTGAATGCGCAGGAAAGAGAAGCGAGTAGGACAGAGGATTTAGATTTAGATTTAGATTTATTTCATTTATACCCCGCCCTTCTCCCGGAGGACTCAGGGCGGCTTACAGCCAGTTAAAACAATTATACAAAATACAAATCTAAGATAAATTAAAAATAAATATTCGAATCGGCCGCACTACTAAAATTCAATTAAAACCAATTTAAAATTACCCCTAGGCCAGTCCTGCCTGCTGAAACAGCCAGGTCTTGAGGGCGCGGCGGAAGGAGGGGAGATCCGGAATGCAATGGGGCGGCTCCAAAGGCAAAGGAGAAGGCATTAGGAAGCCATGCCTTGGCTGCATAATAAAAGGGAAAGTGTGGGAGGTGCTGGTGGCCGAAGGCAGCTGTTTGTGTTGAGGAATCGAGTTTCTGTGGACTGTGTTTGTTTGCCTTGGACATGGACTCAGGTCTGTGAGAATAAAAAGGGCTGGTTTTTTCTTGCCTGTTTCTTGGAAGAGGGGTTTCTCCTTGTGAGCATAACAAGGACTCATGTAGGCTGGGACAGAACACAAATAAATAAGTCGCTGAGCAAAACTAGGCTGGGTTAGACCAATGAAACTCCAGTATATTTTGACCTCGGTTTGTGCTGTTAACAGTTACGTTATCACATTCACATTTTGTTTGTACAGGTTTGTAATTTTTGTTTGAGGAATAAAACTTACAGACAAACAGATAGATAAATAATATATTGACCAAAACTAGGCTGCTTTAGACCAATGACATTCCAGTGTATTTTGACTTCAGTTTGTATTGTTTAGAGTTTGCTAAACAACATCTGGAGAACATCTGGAATTCAGAGAAGACTGGGAGATTTAGGCCCCGGGTTCAACCACTTCCAGAATGTAGGCCCTAGAGCAGGGGTGTCAAACTCGCCATGTCACGTGACACGATGTATTGTGACTTTTTTCCTGTTGCCAGAACTGGCGTGGGCGTGGTTTCGGCATGACGCATCTAGCCCGTAGGCATGACGCATCTAGCCCATCTAGCCCTTGCCCTAGAGAAAAGAGTCAACGCAAATTGTACTTGACCTATTTGTGAACGAAGGAAAGGGGGTTACCTAGCTTGGGACAAATCCAGATCTTGAGTCATCAGCATCCTTAATCCTTCCTCGTTAAAGAAGAGGTTATTTCCGCCTGACAGGATCCCACATTTCCGAGATGGTTTCCCGCCACTCACCAGTAAGAACCGGTCTGATTCCAGTTGCCCTGAATGCAAACAGAGATTGACACTGGTTTAGGATGGACCCTGAAGCATTTCTGCTAGGAATTGGACATTGCATGGGATACCCGTGTGCCAATGAGTAAATGCCGGGTCAAGCATTTCTCCATTTTCCTATAAACTTTGATTTTTGTCCAGTGGATTAAATTTAGCCACTTTGGATTAATGTTTATTTAGTATTTACAAAGTGACGATTAAAAATGGAAATTCCTTTTTCAATCCATTCCCAGATAGTCTAGTCTCTTCTTAAAAACCTCCAATGATGGAGCGCCCACGATTTCTGGAGGCAGGTTGTTCCACTGGTTGATTGTCCTCACTATCAGGAAGTTTCTCCTTAAATCCAGGTTGCTTCTCTCTTTGATCTGTTTCCAACCATTGTTTCTCGTCCTTCCCTCTGGTGCTCTGGTGAACAACCTGGCCCCCTCTGCCTTGTGGCAGCCCCTCAAATACTGGAACACTGCTATCATGTCACCCCTATTTCTTCTTTTCTCTAGACTAGCCAAACCCAAGTCCCGTAGCTGTTCTTCGTATGTTTTAGTCTCCAGGCTTTTGTTTCACAAAACCTAAGTACGGTCACCTGACCTTCAGAGTGCAGTGGCAAACCAGGTTAGAATGCTGGGCTGACAATTGGCAGGCTCGCGTTTGAGACCCGTTGCTGCCGTGTGACGGGGTGAGCTCCCATCACACGCTCCAGCTCCTGTCAACCCAGAAGTTCAAAAGCGGGCAACCACGAGTAGATAAATAGGTACCACTTCGGCGGGCATGGAGCCCCCAACTGGGTGTTCCCCCAGGCAATGATGACGTTACCGGCAAATTTTTTCACCACGGAAGCCCTTCGTTATTAGTAGTAGTAGTACTATACCTTCAAAGTCATCCTTGAGAAAATCAGGGTTCTTGGTGGTTATTCTACAGGTGGGTCCAGAATATCCAGGGTCACAGATGCACTTGGTCCCGTTGACACAACTGCCATGTCCGCTGCACATCTCTTCACACTGTGGTCCTATGTAGACGTTGTCAATGGCCCAGGTCACCGGTTGAGACCCGGCGGGATAAAACCCTTGGTACCATCGGAATCTCACCAATCTGAAACACACAGTTGCGTTAACGCCTACTACTCCTAGCTTGCATTATATCACATGCTTTGAGAACCGTTCCTTATGTGGAAAATGAAAATATTTACCTTTGTTCTTTTATGCAAGGTTTAGGCCCAGGTGAACTAAATCAGGCCTCATGGAAAAAGTCTGCGCTATGCTTAATTTTTGCAATAATTTTCCAATTATTGTATTGTATTGTATTGTATCGTATTATTGTATCGTATTATTGTATTGTACTGTATTGTATTATTGTATTGTATTGTACTGTATTGTATTGTACTATATTGTATTGTATTATATTGTATTGTATTATTGCACTGTATTGTACTGTACTGTATTATTGTATTGTACTGTATTATTGTATTGTATTGTACTGTACTGTATTATTTTATTTATTTATTTATTTAATTTAATTTATATGCCGCCCTTCTCCCGACGGGACTCAGGGCGGCGCACAACATACTTAAAACCAAAACATATGTACAATCCCCCCCTTAAAACCGAATTAAACCAAATTTAGAGTTGCGTCTTTCAAATTCCTAAAAAACCCAATATAAAATCCACCCTAGGTCAGGTCCGCTTGCTGNGAAGAATCTTCTTGGATGAGAAGCGAAACGTTTTCAAAGAAAAACCCAAAGAAAGTCCAGTTGCCTTTTGAAAAAGCACCTTTAGGACAACCATGACTTGGGTGACTGAGAACCTCTACAGACATTTGAATGACTGCTGTAGAGGAGCAGATTCAAATGTTCTGTCATGTGTTCAGTTTTACGTGGTTTTCAAAGAATACCTGCTGTGATGTGAATTCCACTAAACGTAGAGAGCAAAGTTGGCAGTTATATATGGAGAGATGCCTCATCTCTATGGACTAGAAGACCCCCCAAGGTCCCTCCTAGCCCTATGATTCTATGTTCTAAACCTAACAGTGGATAACTAATTCAGTGTCTTCTCAAGACCATGGCAGTTGAAAAAGGAAAAGCAGTTCAATGTTTAGAATAGAATAGAATAGAATCGAGTAGAGTAGAGTAGAGTAGAGTAGAGTAGAGTAGAGTAGAGTAGAGTAGAGTAGAGTAGAGTAGAGTAGAGTAGAGTAGAATAGAATAGAATCGAGTAGAGTAGAGTAGGGTAGGGTAGGGTAGAGTAGAATAGAATAGAATAGGAATACAGAATAGAGTAGAGTAGAATAAATAGAGTAGAGTAGAGTAGAGTAGAGTAGAGTAGAGTAGAGTAGAGTAGAGTAGAGTAGAGTAGGGTAGGGTAGGGTAGGGTAGGGTAGAGTAGAATAGAATAGAGTAGGGTAGGGTAGAGTAGAATATAGAATAGAATAGAATAGAATAGAATAGAATAGAATAGGAATACAGAATAGAATAGAAATACAGAATAGAATAGAATAGAATAGAATAGAAAATACAGAATAGAATAGAATAGAATAGAATAGAATAGAATAGAATAGAAAATAGAATAGAGTAGAATAGAATAGAATAGAATAGAAATACAGAATAGAATAGAATAGAATAGAACAGCCTGTTTAAAGGAATCGCCTTTACCGTAGCAAGAGTCGGTGACCGAACAAGAAGCGGCAAAGTCCAACTGGAGGAAAGAGTCTTCGTTGATGGCAATGTCGGTGGTGACCACGTAGCGAGTGCTGGCCTTCTCAATGAAGACCAGAGCATCTCCAGAGGAACCACATACGGGCATTTTGGTCCCACCTGGGTGGAGAAGCCACTTCTTGCTGTCCAAGGTGCTGAAATCATCTTCCAGGATTGTGTTGCCAGAAATGTTTCCACCGATAAGGATCTGGAATACAGTGACACAAACACTCGCTTATTATTATTTCAATTTCAATTTCCTTAAATTGAAATGTCCGTGGAGATTCTCAGTCATGGTTATTCTAAAAGTGCTTTTTCAAAAGGCAACTGGACTTTTGTTTTTCCTTGAAGACGTTCTTCTGAAGCTTCTTGGAGAAGAAGCGAAATGTTGTCAAACTTATAATATAATAATAATAATTATAATTATAATAATAATCAATCCACTCCGTTAAATTTTAAGCCAGAAATGTTAGCTAAGACTCTCTTGTTAAATTAGAGTTTCCTATGGTAAAAATGGATATATTTCTTTGTAAAGAAAGAGGCTATCAAAAAAAAAAAGAGAGAGAGAGAGAGTAAGATTAAAACAGACAATACAAGAAGACAATAACCTTAATCTTTAATGTCTCTTCTTTATTCAGTGTAGAATAAAGGTGGACTCTTTTGTGCTACAACATTGTAATCTTAGTGCAATTATTAAGGATCTCTTAACTAGCATAAGCTGACGGAATGAGGCTGTGGAACGAGGGACCGTCGGTTAATAAGCACTCTGTAATTTTTCCTGAGTTTTAATAAAGGGCGCTAAAAGACTCTTAAATTCAGTACGACTGCAGTTTATAAGCAGCATATATTCCAGATAACAAGCTATAAACAAATGGGAGCCCGGAGTATGCTTTGCAGGGATGTAATTTTAGAAAAACATATTTTTGCTACGAGCCAGTCCTAAATAGGTTAAGAGGTGCAGTAAATTTTCCACAAATGGCCCTTAATGCTCTGTAGGCAAAGAGTTATTTGCAATTATTATTCATCAGTCTTCTAAATTGTACAGAACTGCAATCAAAGTTGTTTTCGTAAAGTGCCGAGAACAAAAACTCCTATGCTTGGTGTAATGCAAATAACTCCAGCTTGAAATTAATAGTAGGTGCTTTACTACTGCTTTGAGTCTGATTGGAAAACCAGCATACAGGTAGTCCTCAACGTACGATGGTTAGTTTAGGGACCGTTCCAATTGAACAACGGCACTGAAAAAAGTGACTTGTGAAAGTTTTTTACACTTACGACCGTTGTAGCATCCCCAAAGTCATGTGATCAAAATTCAGGCCCTTGGCAACTGACTCATAGTTATGATGGTTGCCATGTCCCAGGGTCATGTTCAGTGATCCCCTTTTGTGAACTTCTGACAAGCAAAGTCAACGGGGGGAAGCCAGATTCACTTAACAACCGTGTTACTAACTTAACAACTGCAGTGATTCACTTAATGACGATGGCATGAAAGGTCGTAAAACGGGGCAAAACCCACTTAACAACGGTCTCACTTAGTAACATAAATGTTGGACTCAATTGCAAGCATAAGTTGAGGGCTACTTGCGTTGTTTTCTCCCCCTTGTCAAAATGAATTACTCATCTATTTTTTTAAAAAAACCATTTTAATATTGTTTATTGCGATCAGACCTAATTAACGGTGAGTAAATGTGAACGTCTAAAGATTCTTCTTCCTGCGAGCAAAAGGAACGATGTTTGTATTGCTGGCGTTTGTTTCTGCCATGAATCTGATATCCAAATATTTTGGGGAATTTTAAGCAGATGGCAGATGGCTCTGTATTAAACACCACAATATGTAAATAAATAAAACATAATTATCCCTCCACAAGACTGTTTTGATGGTAGCTTTTGCCCACAGTGGTTTCTGCTTTATTTTAATTTTTCCCAGCCTATAGTTTTTACATATATTGCAATTGTAACTTCAACTCCCAGCTGGCTTGATTCCTCACCAGCCAGTGGACCCGGCAGCTGAGTCTGGGGAATCGGAGGAGGAGGGGCCTGGAGTGACATCAGAGTCAGAGGGAGACTTACAGTTGGACGAGGAGCCTGGCCCCTCTACTTGCACTCAGGCTGAGACACAGCTGTGCTGGGAGCCTGAGCTGGACAGTGATGAAGAACAGCTGGGACAAATCCAGGATGCATGAATGCGCAGGCAAGAGAAGTGAGTAGGACAGAGGAATGCAACGGGGTGGCTCCAAAGGCAAAGGAGAAGGCATTAGGAGGCCACGCCTTGGCTGCATAATAAAAGGGAAGGTGTGGGAGGTGCTGGTTGCCGAAGGCAGCCGTTTGTGTTGAGGATCGAGTTTCTGTGGACTGTGTTTTGTTTGCCTTGGACATTGACTCAGGTCTGTGAATAATAAAAGGGGATTGGTTCTTTCCTGCAGTTCCAGCCTGCTTGTTGAAAGAGGGGTTTCTCCTTGTGAGCATAACAAGGACTTATGTAGGCTGGGCCAGAACAGCGTCGGGATTAACCACTTTCTTTTGTTTTCAGGTAAAAAGAATGACTTACCTGGTCGATGACCCAAGGGCTGTAGAAATGCCCGTTTTCCGACGGCTGCCACCAGCGGAGACGCGTAGAGGGAGAGCGAGCTTTTAAAGGGATTTCCAGGGCAATGTAACGTCCAATATTGCTCGAATTGCTGAAGAGAAATTCCTGAAGTAAATTCCACCGGAGTCCACCATTAAGGGAATATTGTAACAACACCGGCTGACTCCGGAGATCAGGTACGGCTTTGCCACATCCCAGCCTCATGAAGAATTGCACAAATCTACATTAAGCATGGAAGAGCCAAAAATCAAAAGAAATATATTATGATTATTATTTCCAGTTGCACAAAACACATCGACTCCTTTTGCCAACAACGAGTAACGCTAGATCAGGGGTAGTCAACCTTGGCTCTTTTATGACTCGTGGACTTCAACTCCCAGAATTCCTGAGCCAGCTGTGCTGTCATAAAAGTCATAAAAGAGCCAAGGTTGACTACCCCTGCGCTATATTGTTATTCTATTCTGGGTATATATCAATGTGGCTCATTTTTTAAAAAAAAAATGAGGTACCTGCCTTTGCGCGTTGTATTTTGTTTATCCATTAGAACAGCATCAAAAGAATTTTTTTTTTTAAAAAAAGATATTTATCCTCCAGACTTGAGCACAGAATCAATACATAGACAGATTTACTTATAGAACGCACATCCCAGTAAATTTGAACCTGCGCTGAAATTTCACGATCTTAGCCCAGAAACTTGGCAGCATATAAAAGACAAAGCGTAAAACACAGCCACGAGCTACATTCGTTTATTAATATACATATAATCCTTCGGCTTTCCAGAAGATGGAAATGCAGCTGAATAGAACCCCAAATGATTGGTTGAGGGTTCCAAGAAAGGATTTAGGCCATTATTCTGGGCAAAAATCAGAAAAAAAAACCATTATTGCTTTACTAAATACATGTAGTGACGGACCAATCGCAGAGATCAAAGTTATCGCAAAAGACTAATATTCAGTGGATAACCCAAATTTATTTCACATCCATAATAAAACATTATTACATTTAAAATGTAAATATGGAGCTGGTATTTATGTTCTTTTCATTATATTTGAGCTAGCGTCGGTCCATACATCAAACACAAAGTGAACAAGGGTTTATCTGAATCCACAAAAGAATTAAAATTGGGTGTTTTTCTGTCACTTCACAGAAGGAATTTAAATGCCATGCCCTTATTCAAGAGCCCTCTTGCTTTTAAGCAGACAATATGCCACAAAAAATGCGATATTGTGTTTTTTCGAGTGGTTTCATTTCATAGGGACAGCTTATTGTTTATTTGGAAAAATGCAATACATATAAATTAAGCCCCGTAGCAAGAGAATAAAAATATGCAGAAAAAGAAATAGTGTTAAGCCTTATGTTAATAACAGAAGTGCAGAAGACCATATTAAAATGAAATTTCTACCGAGTTTTAAATCAATTTTTCATCACAGCGAGGGTTAAGTATCCCTGAAGAAAATGGAATATTATTTTTTTTTAGATATTTAAAGTCCGAGGAAGGTATCTTCAGGGCCACCCAGTAATTTGCAAACAGGAATTTTAATTTCAAACTAGTCTACATTTTTTTTTTCCTATTTCAACATTTTAGACGCAACCTCTCTCATCAAAGAATTTCTAATCAGGTGCAAAAAGCCTTTAGAATTTAACAGTTGCTATTTTAAATAGCTCAACACCAGCTTGTTCGGAATCTGGCAGTTATCAACCATAAATAAATGCTGGCAGTTCAAAGCAAGCTTGGAAATGTTGTGCAACTTCAAATGAAGCATCCAAAGGCATCTTGGCAATAAACAGCATGTTTCAATCCTGGTTCACTGTCAAGCAGCCCATTATTGGACAGTTAGTATGCAAGAGAGTTCAATCTTTTGAGATTAAAATGTTATTTATAATCCAGGAGATGGCGGTCTCCCTGTTAGTGCAGAACGGCATAGAGCCAACTCGGGCAAAGATTTATGGGACCAGCTTGGTTTGAAGAAAAATAGAGAATATTTCACAGGCAACTCGCTTCAAGTCTCCGTCGTTTCTCCGTCCGGGCGAAAAGTGTTTGGGTGCCTATGGGGGTGCTTGGAAACGGACCGAATCGCTCCGTTTCCAAGCACCCCATAGGCGCCCAAACACTTTTCACCCAGAGAGAAACTGGAAGCATTGTCTGCTTGGAAATGGGGTGCCTGGAAACACCCATTCCTCAAATTTTTGTTTGAGGAATAAAACAAATGAACAAACAAACAAATTGTTGTGATTCCTCGTCAGCCAGTGGGTCCGGCAGCTGAGTCTGAGGAATCGGAGGAGGAGGAGGAGGGGCCTGCAGTGACATCAGAGTCAGAGGAAGGCTCTGAGGAGCTCCAAGACTTACAGTCGGACGAGAAGCCTGGCCCCTCTACTCACGCTCAAGCTGAGACACAGCTGTGCTGGGAGCCTGAGTTGGACAGTGATGAAGAACAGCTGGGACAAATCCCGGATGCATGATTGCGCAGGAAAGAGAAGCGAGTAGGACAGAGGAATGCAATGGGGTGGCTCCAAAGGCAAAGGAGAAGGCATTAGGAAGCCATGCCTTGGTTGCATAATAAAAGGGAAGGTGTGGGAGGTGCTGGTTGCCGAAGACAGCTGTTTGTGTTGAGGAATCGAGTTTCTGTGGACTGTGTGTGTTTGCCTTGGACATGGACTCAGGTCTGTGAGAATAAAAAGGGCTGGTTTTTTCTTGCCTGTTTCTTGGAAGAGGGGTTTCTCCTTGTGAGCATAACAAGGACTCATGTAGGCTGGGACAGAACACAAATAAATAAGTCGCTGAGCAAAACTAGGCTGGGTTAGACCAATGAAACTCCAGTATATTTTGACCTCGGTTTGTGCTGTTCACAGTTACGTTATCACATTCACATTTTGTTTGTACAGATTTGTAATTTTTGTTTGAGGAATAAAACATACAGACAAACAAACAGATAGATAAATAAGATATTGAGCAAAACTAGGCTGCTTTAGACCAATGACATTCCAGTGTATTTTGACTTCAGTTTGTATTGTTTAGAGTTTGCTAAACAACATCTGGAGAACATCTGGAATTCAGAGAAGACTGGGAGATTTAGGCCCCGGGTTCAACCACTTCCAGAATGTAGGCCCTAGAGCAGGGGTGTCAAACTCGCCATGTCACGTGACGTGATGTATTGTGACTTTTTTCCTGTTGCCGGAACTGGCGTGGGCGTGGTTTTGGCATGACGCATCTAGCCCGTAGGCCAGCAGTTTGACACCCTTGCCCTAGAGAAAAGAGTCAACGCAAATTGTACTTGACCTATTTGTGAACGAAGGAAAGGGGGTTACCTAGCTTGGGATAAATCCAGATCTTGAGTCATCAGCATCCTTAATCCTTCCTCGTTAAAGAAGAGGTTATTTCCTCCGGACAGGATCCCACATTTCCGGGATGGTTTCCCGCCACTCACCAGTAAGAACCGGTCTGATTCCAGTTGCCCTGAATGCAAACAGAGATTGACACTGGTTTAGGATGGACCCTGAAGCATTTCTGCTAGGAATTGGACATTGCATGGGATACCCGTGTGCCAATGAGTAAATGCCGGGTCAAGCATTTCTCCATTTTCCTATAAACTTTGATTTTTGTCCAGTGGATTAAATTTAGCCGCTTTGGATTAATGTTTATTTAGTATTTACAAAGTGACGATTAAAAATGGAAATTCCTTTTTCAATCCATCCCCAGATAGTCTAGTCTCTTCTTAAAAACCTCCAATGATGGAGCGCCCATGATTTCTGGAGGCAGGTTGTTCCACTGGTTGATTGTTCTCACTGTCAGGAAGTTTCTCCTCAATTCCAGGTTGCTTCTCTCTTTGATCTGTTTCCAACCATTGTTTCTCGTTCTCCCCTCTGGTGCTCTGGTAAACAACCTGGCCCCCTCTGCCTTGTGGCAGCCCCTCAAATACTGGAACACTGCTATCATGTCTCCCCTATTTCTTCTTTTCTCTAGACTAGCCAAACCCAAGTCCCGTAGCTGTTCTTCGTATGTTTTAGTCTCCAGGCTTTTGTTTCACAAAACCTAAGTACGGTCACCTGATCTTCAGTGGCAAACCAGGTTAGAATGCTGGGCTGACAATTGGCAGGCTCACGTTTGAGACCCGTTGCTGCCATGTGACGGGGTGAGCTCCCATCACACGCTCCAGCTCCTGCCAACCCAGAAGTTCAAAAGCGGGCAACCACGAGTAGATAAATAGGTACCACTTCGGCGGGCATCTTCATGGAGCCCCCAACTGGGCGTTCCCCCAGGCAATGATGACGTTACCGGCAAATTTTTTCACCACGGAAGCCCTTCGTTATTAGTAGTAGTAGTACTATACCTTCAAAGTCATCCTTGAGAAAATCAGGGTTCTTGGTGGTTATTCTACAGGTGGGTCCAGAATATCCAGGGTCACAGATGCACTTGGTCCCGTTGACACAACTGCCGTGTCCGCTGCACATCTCTTCACACTGTGGTCCTATGTACACGTTGTCAATGGCCCAGGTCACCGGTTGAGACCCGGCGGGATAAAACCCTTGGTACCATCGGAATCTCACCAATCTGAAACATACAGTTGCGTTAACTCCTACTACTCCTAGCTTGCATTATATCACATGCTTTGAGAACCATTCCATATGTGGAAAACAAAAATATTGACCTTTGTTCTTTTATGCAAGGTTTAGGCCCAGGTGAACTAAATCAGGTCTCATGGAAAAAGTCTGCGCTATGCTTAATTTTTGCAATAATTTTCCAATTATTGTATTGTATTGTATTGTATTGTATTGTATTGTATTGTATCGTATTATTGTATTGTACTGTATTGTATTATTGTATTGTATTGTACTGTATTGTATTGTACTATATTGTATTGTACTATATTGTACTGTATTGTACTGTACTGTATTATTGTATTGTACTGTACTGTACTGTATTATTGTATTGTACTGTACTGTACTGTATTATTGTATTGTACTGTACTGTACTGTACTGTACTGTATTGTATTGTATCATCTCCAAGGTCCCTTCCAACCCTTTTATTCTATGTTCTATTACTAACTTCTGGAAAGTTACTAGAAGCTAAGTCATTACAGAAAGACAAGGAATGAGGCCTTTGACCCAGGCTACTTTGATCCCTGTGCTGGTGTTAGCTTAATGTTTGTTTTTTATACACGCATTTTTGCACTGCTGCAAGTTGTAGTGAAAAGTATGATTCTATTTGTTTTTACAGTTGAACATTCTTGTCTCAAGGGTGTATATATATGTGTGTGTGTCTGTGTGTGTGTGTGTGTGTGAGGGGGTTGTGATAGGTCAGAGTGGCAAGAAAATAAACTGTCCTACATCTACATTGAAAGTCGGCCAAAGAAAAAAACAACAGTCAACCAACACGGAGTATGCTTGTGTGAATTTGGCACACAACTCTGTTAAGCATTTGGCTCTCCCTCTTTTTGATTGACAGGCTGGAAAATTAGAGAAAAGGTTTGAGGACGTGACTTGGAACAGCAGGGATGCTAAACGTTCCGGGATTAAAGACAATAAAAAATGCATGCTCGCATTTAAAAATTAAATATTTTGTTTAATTATTAAACAACGGGGGTTGTTCCTTTAGTTTTGCTCCAGTTCTTCAAGGGATTGTAAGGTCTGCTGTATTTTCTAGGAATCTGTCACTCGGCAGAAATGCTTTCTCTCAGAGTCGATACAGGGAGGCTGGTCATAAATCTTTTTTTAAAGAGCTCAGAAGTCTGGTGAGTGTTCCTCTAAGGTCAAAGGTAGGCAACCTTGGCTCTTTTATGACTCGTGGACTTCAACTCCCAGAATTCCTCAGCCAGCCACGCTGAGGGGAAAGGGAGAGGTTTCCATGCTGAGCCATGCTGGCTCAGGAATTCTGGGAGTTGAAGTCCACGAGTCATAAAAGAGCCAAGGTTGAGGACCCCTGATGTAGGGCAGGGGTGCGGAACCTTGGCTCTTTTATGACTCATGGACTTCAACTCCCAGAATTCCTGAGCCAGCATAGCTCATCTTGGAAACCTCTCCCTTTCCCCTCAGCGTGGCAGTTGAAATCCATGAGTCATAAAAGAGCCAAGGTTGCCTATCTCTGCCCAAATGCCTGAATTTTGATCACGTGACTGTGAGGAAAAAATATTTAAATATTTAAACCAGGGGTCTTCAAACTAGGCCCTTTTATGACTTGTGGACTTCAATTCCCAGAATTCCTGAGCCGGCATGGCTCAGCTTGGAAACCTCTCCCTTTCCCCTCAGCGTGGCTGGCTGAGGAATTCTGGGAGTTGAAGTCCACGAGTCACAAAGGAGCTAAGGTTGCCTACCCCTGCTCTAGGTTATCTACCGTGTTTCCCCCAAAATAAAACCCAACCGGAAATTAAGCCCTAGCATGATGTTTTCCAGGACACTCGTAATATAAGCCCCACTCCAAAAATAAGCCCCAGTTAAGATCGTCAGCCAGACGGATGCATTTAGTACCGTATTTCCCTGAAAATAAGCCCTAATGTATCTTTTGGAGCAAAAATTAATATAAGACAGGGGTCCTCAACCTTGGCAACTTTAAGACTTGTGGACTTCAACTCCCAGAATTCCTCAGCCAGCAAAGCTAGTTTCCATTAGCCAGCAAAGCTAGTTTCCATCTGTTGCTTCTTGTCCTGCCTTCAGGTGCTTTGGAGAATATGTTGACCCCCCTCTTCTTTGTGGCAGCTCCTTAGATATTGGAACACTGCTATCAAGTCACCCCTCGTCCTTCTCTTCATTAAACTAGACAAACCCAGTTCATACAACCGTTCTTTGTATGTTCTCCAATCATCCCCTAATCGTCTTTGTTGCTCTTCTCTGCATCCTTTCCAGCGTCTCTACATTATTTTCATATCATTAGGGGTGACATGAAGGAAGCCAGAGTCATTGAAGAACCACAGTGATTCCCTGTGTCAAGGAGGGTCATTAAAATGAGGCAAAACTCAGTTGACAAATCTCTCACTTAGCAACACTTAGTTTGGGCTCAAACTGTGGCCGTAAAGTCGAGGACTACCTGTATAATCACGAAAGGGTTGTTGGGGTCCCGTGTGTGCTCCCCTGAAGGATGTTCTCCTGAACTGACTGCCTAGTAGTAACTCTCTTTGTGATCAGATGCAATCAGCTAACCTTGCTTACAATGGGGCAGAAAGATAAGAGATAGAGATACAAGCTAGAGGAGATTCAAAACAACTTCTTACCCACAGAGATGTAGCTTTCCAAAATGGATGACCTCTCTTCTCCAGCCCTGAGTCGTTCCAGCGTAGTAGGTGCTACTGGGATGATGCTCAACAGAGCAGAGAGAATTGAGATAGCTGCTGCTACTATAACATAGAGGGAGGAGCAGGTGCCAAGTTGCCCCCAAGTCTCGGGAGAATTCAAGTTTCACCGGCTCAGCCGAGGAGCTGTCCGTGGTGCAGCCGACGTTAATCTAAAATCAAACAAATCCTCCAGGTTGAACTTATGGATACCTCGGGCATAGCAAACGGTTAAAACAAAGACGCCCTGAATTGTAAGAATTGTAAGCATTCAGACGTGATTTGGGGAGGACCTCAGATGCAGACGTGGCTACAATTTTTTTACTTATTTATTTATCGACAGAAGGAACTATTTGCAGCTCAGGGTTGACATGAAGAGTCCTTGGGGCTCTCCGAGTTTGGTTGGTTGTTTTCTTGCAGATGTTTCATTACCCAAACTAGGTGACATCATCAGCGCTAGAAGGGAGTAGGGTTTGTGGAATGATGGAGGAGGAGGAGGAGTGAGGGGTCCTTGGTGCTCTCTGAGCTTGCTTGTTTTCTTGCAGACGTTTCATGACCCAACTAGGTAACATCAGCAGTGCTAGAAGGGAGTAGGGTTTGTGGAATGATGGAGGAGGAGGAGGAGGAGGAGGAGGAGGAAGAAGATGACTGTGGGGTCCTTGATGCTCTCTGAGCCTTAATAAAGTGTAGTTAGTTGGAGAAGGTTCTACCAAACTTCTATTTTTTTTTTACCNGCGCTTTAAAGGTGGTAACTAACACCTTAAAGCGCACCCGGAAGGCCACTGGCAACCAGTGCAGCTCGCGCAGCAGCGGTGTCACATGGGAGCGACGAGTCCCTCCCAACACCGCCCGCGCGGCCGCATTCTGGACCATTTGAAGCCTCCGGGTGCTCCTCAAAGGGAGCCCCATGTAGAGAGCATTACAGTAGTCCAGTACTGTACTGTACTGTATTATTGTATTGTACTGTATTATTGTATTGTATTGTACTGTACTGTATTATTGTACTGTACTGTACTGTACTGTACTGTATTATTGTGTTGTACTGTACTGTACTATATTATTGAATTGTATTGTATTGTATTGTATTGTATTGTATTGTATTGTATTGTATTGTACTGTACTGTACTGTACTGTATTGTATTGTATCATCTCCAAGGTCCCTTCCAACCCTTTTATTCTATGTTCTATTACTAACTTCTGGAAAGTTACTAGAAGCTAAGTCATTACAGAAAGACAAGGAATGAGGCCTTTGACCCAGGCTACTTTGATCCCTGAGCCGGTGTTAGCTTAACATTTGTTTTCTATACACACATTTTTGCACTGCTGCAAGTTGTAGTGAAAAGTATGATTCTATTTGTTTTTACAGTTGAACATTCTTGTCTCAAGGGTGTATATATATATGTGTGTGTGTGTGTGAGGGGGTTGTGATAGGTCGGAGTGGCAAGAAAATAAACTGTCCTACATCTACGTTGAAAGTCGGCCAAAGAAAAAAACAACAGTCAACCAACACGGAGTATGCTTGTGTGAATTTGGCACACAACTCTGTTAAGCATTTGGCTCTCCCTCTTTTTGATTGACAGGCTGGAAAATTAGAGAAAAGGTTTGAGGACGTGACTCGGAACAGCAGGGATGCTAAACGTTCCGGGAGTAAAGACAATAAAAAATGCATGCTCGCATTTAAAAATTAAATATTTTGTTTAATTATTAAACAACAGGGGGGATGTTCCTTTAGTTTTGCTCCAGTTCTTCAAGAGATTGTAAGGTCTGCTGTATTTTCTAGGAATCTGTCACTTGGCAGAAATGCTTTCTCTCAGAGTCGATACAGGGAGGCTGGTCATAAATCTTTTTTTAAAGAGCTCAGAAGTCTGGTGAGTGTTCCTCTAGGTCAGGGGTAGGCAACCTTGGCTCTTTTATGACTCGTGGACTTCAACTCCCAGAATTCCTCAGCCAGCCACGCTGAGGGGAAAGGGAGAGGTTTCCAAGCTGAGCCATGCTGGCTCAGGAATTCTGGGAGTTGAAGTCCACAAGTCTTAAAGTTGCCAAGGTTGAGGACCCCTGATATAGGGCAGAGGTGGGGAATCTTGGTTCTTTTATGACTCGTGGACTTCAACTCCCAGAATTCCTCAGCCAGCATGGCTCAGCTTGGAAACCTCTCCCTTTCCCCTCAGCGTGGCAGTTGAAATCCATGAGTCACAAAAGAGCCAAGGTTGCCTATCTCTGCCCAAATGCCTGAATTTTGATCACGTGACTGTGAGGGAAAAATATTTAAATATTTAAACCAGGGGGTCTTCAAACTTGACTCTTTTATGACTCGTGGACTTCAACTCCCAGAATTCCTGAGCCAGCAGGGCTCAGCTTGGAAACTTCTCCCTTTCCCCTCAGCGTGGCTGGCTCAGGCATTCTGGGAGTTGAAGTCCACAAGTCATAAAGGAGCCAAGGTTGCCCACCCCTGCTCTAGGTTATCGACCATGTTTTCCCCAAAATAAGATTCAACCGGAAAATAAGCCCTAGCATGATTTTTTCCAGGACGCTCGTAATATAAGCCCCACTCCAAAAATAAGCCCGTTAAGATTGTCAGCCAGAGGGATGCATTTAGTACCGTATTTCCCTGAAAATAAGCCCTAATGTATCTTTTGGAGCAAAAATTAATGTAAGACAGGGTTCCTCAACCTTGGCAACTTTAAGACTTGTGGACTTCAACCCCCAGAATTCCTCAGCCAGCAAAGCTAGTTTCCATCTGTTGCTTCTTGTCCTGCCTTCAGGTGCTTTGGAGAATATGTTGACCCCCCTCTTCTTTGTGGCAGCTCCTTAGATATTGGAACACAGCTATCAAGTCACCCCTCGTCCTTCTCTTCATTAAACTAGACAAACCCAGTTCATGCAACCGTTCTTCGTATGTTCTCCAATCATCCCCTTATCGTCTTTGTTACTCTTCTGTGCACACTTTCCAGCGTCTCTACATTATTTTCATATCATTAGGGGTGACATGAAGGAAAGCAGAGTCACTGAAGAACCATATTACTAAATTAAGAACTGCAGTGTCCACGAAGCTCATTAAAATGGGGCAAAACTCATTTGACAATTGTCTCACTTAGCAACATAAATTTTGGGCTCAAACTGTGGCCGAAAAGTCGAGGACTACCTGTATAATCACGAAAGGGTTGTTGGGGTCCCGTGTGTGCTCCCCTGAAGTATGTTTTCCTGAACTGACTGCCTAATAGTAACTCTCTTTGTGATCAGATGCAATCAGCTAACCTTGCTTACAATGGAGCAGAAAGATAAGAGATAGAGATACAAGCTAGAGGAGATTCAAAACAGCTTCTTACCCACAGAGATGTAGCTTTCCAAAATGGATGACCTCTCTTCTCCAGCCCTGGGTCGTTCCAGCGTAGTAGGTGCTACTGGGATGATGCTCAACAGAGCAGAGAGAATTGAGATAGCTGCTGCTACTATAACATAGAGGGAGGAGCAGGTGCCAAGTTGCCCCCAAGTCTCGGGAGAATTCAAGTTTCACCGGCTCAGCCGAGGAGCTGTCCGTGGTGCAGCCGACGTTAATCTAAAATCAAAGAAATCCTCCACGTTGAACTTATGGATACCTCGGGCGTAGCAAATGGTTAAAACAAAGACGCCCTGAATTGTAAGAATTGTAAGCATTCAGACGTGATTTGGGGAGGACCTCAGATGCAGACGTGGCTACAATTTTTTTACTTATTTATTTATCGACAGAAGGAACTATTTGCAGCTCAGGTTGACATGAAGAGTCCTTGGGGCTCTCCGAGTTTGGTTGGTTGTTTTCTTGCAGATGTTTCATTACCCAAACTAGGTGACATCATCAGCGCTAGAAGGGAGTAGGGTTTGTGGAATGATGGAGGAGGAGGAGGAGGAGGAGGAGGAGGAAGATGACTGTGGGGTCCTTGATGCTCTCTGAGTCTTAATAAAGTGTAGTTAGTTGGAGAAGGTTCTACCAAACTTCTATTTTTTTTTTACCTCCATGGACTAAAACAATTGTCTTCCTACATAATGCATGTGAGATTCCCGTTATTAGGCCTAACCAACCGCTGATCTAGAATCAAAAGGACATGAGTTGGTTCATTAGCTTCAGAAATATAGAATGACAACACCTACATTACCTACAACAACATCTTGTTTATTAGCATCTCCCTAACCTTGCAGTAAAACATTTTCTTTCTTTCTTTTTAAATTAAAATGTCTTTCCTGGATGCCTAGATGTTAAGTATAACCCACTGAAAACGTGTTCCTTCTGAGTGTGACCTCGAAAGCATTTGTTGAACATACTTTTAATCTATATTTTAAAATATAAAACCGTTAATAATATATATTATTAATTGGTTGTCGTGACAAATTGAAATGTGCATGAATAAACAGTCAGGGGAGGTTTTTCTAAGAATACACAAGATGAGCAACCAGTAGCCTCTTACAACTGCACACGAATGTGCTGGGACTATTAATGCTTTGCATAAACGTGTTAGTGCACACACAAAATTTGTGCATTAGGCTTCAGCTTCAGTTTTAATTAAACTCTTGAAATACAGCATATGCTCTGGGGGCCACACTGTGGATGCAACTACTTATTTCAATTCAATAAGTGGATGTTGATATTCCTGTCCGCCTATCATCTATTTAACATCCCAACTTACACCGCAATGTTATAATAATAGCAACAGATTCTTATTTTTTTAACGTGGAGTCCTAGATACTCTCTAAGCTGGTTTGGTTACCTGCAGACATTTCATTACCCAACCAGGTAACGTCATCCGTGTCAGTGAGTGTGGGCTTTGCTCCTTGCTTGTATACATTTTACAGTATACAATATATTTTCTTAATGGAACAAAACAAGTGTTTTGTTGAATGGTAAAGTTATGAGATGTTTTTTGCCTTTGTTAAAAAAAAAAAGTTCAACTACAGTTAGTCCTTGACTTACCACTTGCTTAGTGACGTTACAACAGCGTTGAAAAAAGTGCTGTAGTAACCACTATCGTAATATCCCTAAGGCAGGGGTAGGCAACCTTGGCTCTTTTATGACTCGTGGACTTCAACTCCCAGAATTCCTGAGCCAACATGGGGGAAACTTTGGCCCCTTCATGACTCGTGGACTTCAACTCCCAGAATTCCTGAGCCAGCATGGGGAAAACTTTGGCCCCTTCATGACTCATGGACTTCAACTCCCAGAATTCCTGAGCCAGCATGGGGGAAACTTTGGCCCCTTCATGACTCGTGGACTTCAACTCCCAGAATTCCTGGCTGGCTCAGGAATTCTGGGAGTTGAAGTCCACGAGTCATAAAGAGCCAAGGTTGTCTACCCCTGCCCTAAGGTTACAGGATCAAAATTTGAGCACTTGGCAACCAGCATGAATTCACAATAGTTGTGGTGTCCAAGGATGAAGCTGGATTTATTTAATGACCATTTGATTCATTTAATAACGGCAGCGATTTGCTTAAAAAAATGGTCGTAAAAAACTGTCGCTTAGTAATGGGGATTCCTGTCCCGACTGTGGTCGTAAGCTGAGAATTGCTCTATGTCTGGTGGATAAAAGGACAATTTCACAGCCCGTGTCAATGTTTTATATACCTTGGGACACAGAATTGAACGAAGGACACACCATCCCTACCTATAACCTCCTGTCAATCTCACTGTACCTTCAATTTTCAGGCCCTTCCTGAAAATTATAAGGTTTCACGTTGTATAAACTTGAAAGATACTAACTGCCCATTTTCACATGTGCAATAATGAAATGATCTGCCAGTCTTTGTGGATTAAGCACTCCTAGGAATTCATAAATTGTACCCAGCCTATCCTTCCGTATCCTTAAAAAAAAAGGTAACATATCCAGAAAAATGCTAAAGCAAGATTTAAAAAAAACACAGATAGTTTGAAAGCAAGAAGAAAAGAAAAGCAGAGATTTAAGTACCTCAAACTGGATTATGGTATTTTCGTTTACGTTCAGGTCTCTCGTTGTAATTGAATGTTCTCCAACTTCATTTGACACAAATACCATAGCAGAATCTTCTTCTCTGTGGCAGGAGCAAAAGGGATCTATTTCACAATATCATTCTGTACTTTACGCTTCTTTTTCTGAAACTTTGATAACTGCCTGGTTTGGTAGAGCAGCCAAACAGGACAGACACAGACTTCGACATACAGTTAGGACTCCAGAAAAAACAATTGCAACCAGCTGTTTTCCACTGAGGACCTGTATACTGCATGGGTCAGAAAGAGGGCTGAGAAAATATCTACTCCTGGACATAAACTGTTTCAACTCCTCCCCTCGGGACGCTGCTGTAGGGCATTGCAGGTCAAAACAACTGGACACAAAGACGGTTTCTTTCCCCAGGCTCTCACTCTGCTGAACACATAACCTTCATAGCACTGTCTTATGTCTAAGCATATTTACCCATGTAGTATGGCTGTATTATTATTATCCTCATCTTTTCTATCTTCTCTGATTGGTATCATTATTGTTACTCCACTGCTTTGCATGTACATTGAGAGTTTCTGCACCAGAGACAAATTCCTTGTGCATCTAATCATACTTTGTCAAATTATTCTATTCTATTCTATTCTATTCTATTCTATTCTATTCTATTCTATTCTATTCTATTCTATTCTATTCTATTCTATTCTATTCTATTCCATTCCATTCCATTCCATTCTAATCCAGTCTATCTCTACTCTATTCTACTCTACTTTACTCCACTCCACTCTACTTTATTCTGGTCCAGTCCAGTCCAGTCCAGTCCAGTTTATTTCTACTCTACTCTACTCTACTCTACTCTACTCTACTCTACTCTACTCTACTCTACTCTACTCTACTCCAGTCCAGTCCATTTTTACTCTACTCTATTCTACTCTACTCCATTCTGATTCAGTCCAGCCAAGTCCAGTCTAGTCTACTTCTACTCTACTACTCTACTCTACTCTACTCTATATACTCTACTCTACTCTACTCTACTCTACTCTACTCTACTCTACTCTACTCTACTCTACTCTACTCTACTCTACTCTACTCTACTCTACTCTACCCTACTCTACTCCAGTCCAGTCCAGTCCAGTCCAGTCCATTTCTACTCTACTCTATTCTACTCTACTCCATTCTGATTCAGTCCAGTCCAGTCTAGTCTACTTCTACTCTATTACTCTACTCTACTCTACTCTACTCTACTCTACTCTACTCTACTCTACTCTACTCTATATACTCTACTCTACTCTATTCTGGTCCAGTCTAGTCTAGTCTATTTTTACTCTACTCTACTCTACTCTATTCTCATGTCTCACTATGTATACATATATTTTCAGTTTAATACATACGGTGCTCCTTTGGATGAATATGGACAATAAAGTCCAATGTTGCCACCAGGATAGAAAAACCAGTTGTCTTCCTTTGGGCCCAAGTCAAAAGAATCCAAAAGGATCACAGGATTTTTGAGGTTATTTCCATCAATAATGAAGTCATCTATAATCCAAATCTCCTCCTTCTTACCTAGGAAAAGTAAGAAATTTTTTTTAAAAAAATCCTGATAACCACTGATCTAATTGTTAAGAGACCTCTAGGAAATAATGGTATGCAATGGAACAGTTTACTAGTTGCCACTAAGAGTACTCAGTGCTTCCTAAAACACTCTAAGAAGTAGAGTAGTAGAGTGATTATGAGCAGTAATATTTTCACGTGTAAATTCCAAATCTGATGATAGATTGACATAAGGAGATAACATTAATGAACGCTTCTCTGTTAAGCATATTAACTCAAGCACATTGAGTCTGTCATTAAGAATATGCCCTTGAACTTCACTTGCTGCTCAAATTGTGTTTTAGAATCAAAATGTATAGGCAGTCCTCAACACATAACGGTAATGGAGCTTGCCCACCAAAGCCATGTCATTACAATCAATTTTACAACCTTTTACACAGAGGTTGTAAAGCGAGTCAACTTGATTGTTGAACGAATACATTAAGTGAACACCATAGTTTTTAGGTGAACCACTATGGTACCATCTTTTGACAAAAGTGCCATAAAAATGTGGTCACACCACCATGGGACACTGCTAATGGCTGTAAATGCGCACATGTTGCTGCGCAAAGTCCAGTCATGTGATCATGAAAAACGGCCTCGACAGTCAGAACTGGGTTGTAAGCAGTGGTGGGATTCAGCCGGTTTGCACCACTTTGCCAGAACCGGTAGCTAATTGTTGGTTGCCCAGGCCCAGAATGGACTTCCGGAAGTGGCATCCACGCAGAGAACCCGTTGTTCACACATTTGAATCCCACCACTGGTTGTAAGTCTCCTTTTTCAATTCAGTTGCTAAGCCATCGGTTGTACGTTGAGGACTGCCTGTCTCTCAAAGCCATTACAATTTAAATCCTTCGTTCTGTACCGTTGTTGTAAGGTTGCCAGATCCTGAAACGTGTAGCGCTGTTTCGTGCGGAGTACGGCAATGGGATGTTAATAAAAAGGACGTCGGTGGTTTGGGTGAAGTAAAACTCATCTATCAGATGCCAAGTGATGCCTCCGTTAATGGAATACTGGAGCAGAATAGAATGAGATCTTTCCGGAGTACCTGGAACATAAGAGAAGACATCGCAAGGATGACAATGGTAAGATCAGAGATCCCCAACCTTTGGGGCACCAGGGACCGGTTCCGTGGAGAGAGGTTTTTCCGCGGACCGGAGAGTGCGTGGTTTTGTGTGCTGCCTGCATCCCACAGATGGGGCTTTGCTTGTTTGTGTGGGCTTGCTGCAGCCCGGTACCGGTCCACGGACCGGGGGTTGGGGATCCCTGGCTAAGATGGATCAACTACGAAAGCTTACTTTGATGAAATCAAGTTGAGTCATTTCTTTAAAGAAGACTTAATATAGTAGTCAATAATACCACACAGATTTTCAGATGCAACAAACTCTGATGTTTGGGCTTATTTTTTTGAGGACGGCAACAGTTATTGGACAAGATTTTGAGATGTCATGGGGTGTTCATGGAGACCATCTTTATTTCAATAGAAGAATCCATCTTTTGGTTTTCTGTACTTTAAGAAAACACCAGAATTTCTCCCCCCAAAATATGACACCATCTTAAATATTGTTCTGTTCAAAGATATAGAGATTCTGGATTCCCCCCTACTTTTTTTTTTTTTTTTTCATAAAGAGGAATTTTACATATCAAAAATGGCAGCCTGTTGTAGTCTTGGGCGAGACAATATTCTGTTTAACTACAGGCAAAGGTTTTACGATAAGATGAGTCCAAAACAGCAAAACAATTTGGATAACTGATGCCAGGTTGTGTTAAGAGTTAAATCTAGGAAGACAGAAATTAGTAATTCTCAGAGAGCATCCAAATTTGCCAAAGTCAACTAGTCAACTGCCAAGTATCCATTAATTCAGAAAGTTGGGAAGAAAATGGCTGGGATTTAAAGTCTGGCGCAGAGACCTAACTAAGGGCTTTGACAGTTTTATACTATATTGCAGAAAATAAATAAATAATTGACTATGATTTTATTCTTGTCTGCAACAGAGTCTCATTTAGCGGAGTCATTTCTGACTCAACTTCAACATAAGCCTTTTGCTGAGTTAAGTGTTTGGAGTCTGTGATTTAGTGCCAGGTTAATAGTATAGTATCTTAGTATAAATAAGTATAAAATGTAGTATTAATCGCCACAGATTCTGGGGAACATACAACAGGTTGGAGCTATTACAACACAAGTAACATCTTTCTAGCTTCACCAGGTCATTGAGTCTTCGTTCTGAGTCGTAACTCGGTGTTTGTGAATTAGTTCCACTTTTGGACTCAGCAAGGATTATATTAATTTATCGTTACTCCTGTTCGGCGTAGTGATTAAGGCATCAGGATAAGAAGCAAAAACGGTCAGTTCTAGTCTCGACTAAGGCACAAAACCAACTAGTTTTCTAGCAAGCCATTTCTGGGAAAAAAATTCTGCTAGGAAAACCGCAAGGAACAATAATCAAATCTGACTAAAAGAGGGACAGTTTCCCTCCGTTGGGCAGTGGCAAAGAGAACACCAAAGTACTTTTTTTAAAATGCTACTTACCTTTAGCTAAAAATCTGAAGGAAAACTGAATATACATTGTATTTGTACAGTCTAGGTCCCTCGAAACGAGCATCCTCAACCCTTCCTGTATAAAGAGAATAGATAGTATTACTATTTTTCATGGACTTAAATAACAGCTTGGTCATCGTTCTTACCAAGCAAATCCAGTGCATTTTTTTCTTTTTTAAAAAAACCTTCTTCAAAACTACTAAAGTAATGCTATGTAATGATTTGGAACTAGGGTGAAGAGTGAGGTGACCGGTTTAATAATTTCCCAATATTTTGGGCTATGGCAGTAGGCCGCGGTTAAGAGTTATCCGATATCTTATCTGTGTCCTTCTCCTAAATCAGGGATAGGCAACCTTGGCTCTTTTATGACTTGTGGACTTCAATTCCCAGAATTCCTCAGCCAGCCACGCTGAGGGGAAAGGGAGAGGTTTCCAAGCTGAGCCATGCTGGCTCAGGAATTCTGGGAGTTGAAGTCCACAAGTCTTAACATTGCCAAGGTTGAGGACCCCTGATGTAGGGCAGGAGTGGGGAACCTTGGCTCTTTTATGACTCGTGGACTTCAACTCCCAGAATTCCTGAGCCAGCCATGCTGAGGGGAAAGGGAGAGATTTCTAAGCTGAGCCATGCTGGCTGAGGAATTCTGGGAGTTGAAGTCCACGAGTCATAAAAGAGCCAAGGTTGCCTACCCCTGTCCTCAATGAATCTCACAGGACAGTTGGATGAAGAGATATGAAAAGAGTATGAAGAAAGCAGATGGGAAACAACTGCAACTGATTTTTGTAAAGAACCACCCAAAACGGGAGAAAGACAATTTAGAATTAAGTAACGTTTGAATGTCAACAACTCCTAACCCCTTTGAAGATGAGGCTCGTTCCGGATTTGATGGTGTCGCCGTTCAGGTTTCCTCTCTCGGCTCCGAAGACTTCGGGCCAAAGGTCAGGGTGCAGGTTGCCATTGAAGTCATCTTTTAGCACAGTTGGGAGGGGAACAGTAGGCACACAATAGGGCCCTCCAAAACCTCGGTCACACCTGAAGGAAAATGGGTATGAGACATTTAGAATAGAATAGAATAGAATAGAATAGAATAGAATAGAATAGAATGGAGTGGAGTGGAGTGGAGTGGAGTGGAGTGGAGTGGAGTGGAATAGAATAGAATCTTTATATGGAATGGAATGGAATGGAATGGAATGGAATGGAATGGAATGGAATGGAATGGAATAGAATAGAATAGAATAGAATAGAATAGAATAGAATAGAATAGAATCTTTATATGGAATAGAATAGAATAGAATAGAATAGAATAGAATAGAGCTGGAAGGGACCTTGGAGGTCTTCTAGTCCAACCCCCTGCTCAGGCAGGAAACCCTATACATTTCAGACAAATGGCTGTCCAATCTCTTCTTAAAAACATCTAGTGTTGGAGCATTCCCAACCTCTGGAGGCAGATTATTCCACTGATGTATTATTCTAACTGTGAGGAAATTTCTCCTTAGTTCCATGTTGGTTCTCTCCTTGATCAGTTTCCATCCATTGCTTCTTGTCCTGCCTTCAGGCGCTTTGGAGAATAAGTCCCTCCCTCTTCTGTAGGACAGCCACTCAAGTACTGGAAGACTGCTATCATGTCACCCCCCAGTTCTTCTCCTTGTTAGACTAGACCATGGGTAGGCAACCTTGGCTCTTTTATGACTTGTGGACTTCACCTCCCAGAATTCTGGGAGTTGAAGTCCACGAGTCCTAAAACAGCCAAGGTTGCCTATCCCTGGACTAGACATAGCTAGTTCCCTCAGTCATTCATCATATGGTTTAGCCTAAATTCCCTTAATCAAACTGGAGTTGAAGCTATGGCTTCAATAAACAAGCCAGGGTTTAATCTGTGATGTAATGGGACTGCTGCTGCTTCAGTAATTTCTGCTTAGCTTAGTGGAGGCAGTTGGGTCCTGCCGTAAACCCACAAATTAAAACAAAACCAGAATTCTCAGCAGCTGCATCTCAACATTAGGCCTAAATACATTCTCTCCTCCTCCTAAACAAATTGAACATTTGTTTGTTTTCTTACACACAACGTCCAACATCGCAGATTCCATGACCAGAACACATCCAGGGACATCCGGTGGCCAGGATGACGTTATCAATAGCCCAGGTATCTCCACCAGGAGTATAATCATGTTGGATCCATCTGAAGCGCGTTCTGGGGGACCTAGAAAGAGCAAATTGTGTGTGTGTGGGGGGGGGGGAAAGAAATCAGATTGTGAGGTTATGGAAGAGAAAGGAAAAGACACTGGATAAGTGACTGTAACATCCACTTACACTTAAGCAGGAATACAAAAACAGATGCGACAAATTAATTTGGCCAAAATATTAAAATAATTGTTGAAGCTGAGAATCAAGACTAACAAAAAAAAAGGTTTTATTATAAGGTGGCCCATTTTGGTAAGCATTCCAGCAATTAAGAAAAAAAAAACCCATTTGATTTAATGAAACCTTAAGAATTACTTATTCACAGTATGAGTTACGAAGAGGTCACAGATCCAGCCGATGTCATAATTACTTGTACAGCTCAGAAATTAAGAATAATTAAAACATACACACACACACACATTTAGAGCAGGGGTCTTCAAACTTGGCCCTTTTATGACTTGTGGACTTCAACTCCCAGAATTCCTGAGCCAGCCATGCTAAGGGGAAAGGGAGAGGTTTCCAAGCTGAGCCATGCTGGCTCAGGAATTCTGGGAGTTGAAGTCCACGAATCATAAAAGAGCCAAGGTTGCCTACTCCTGGTCTAGCCCAACTAAAGAAACTCAAACACCACCCCCACGAACACTGACAGGCATGGCACTAGAATATAAACTTGAGCGCAAACCCAACTCCTTACTCACGCTGATGACACTACCCAGTATGGTAATGAAATGTCTGCAAGAAGACAACCAAGCTCAGAGAGCGTCAAGGACTGCTCGTTTCATCTCTGAGCAGAAAATATTCTCCTTTATCAGTACATTAGAAGCTATTTCTTACATTGCTGCCGGAGGGAGAGAGAGCGTGATCCGCTTCCAGTTTTGAAATCTTTCTGAGCTGTAAATCGAACTCTCTGTGTAATGTTGACAGCCTATTTTGGGCGGCACGCACTCTTCCGTTACCACATGCCAGTCTTTTCCGTTGTTTAGGGAATACTGGAAATGAACGGCGTGGGAATCGCTGAACGGCTTGCTGCAGCCCATGTTCAGCTCAAACTGCATGAAGGTGGAATCAGCCACGTGGAAGTCCCAGGTCTCCGCATAGCGAGGCTTTCCTTAAAAAATAAAATAAAAATCAGTGTACAGAAAAGAAGAGCAACAAAGATGATCAGGGGACTGGAGGCTAAAACATACAAGGAACGATTGCAGGAATTGGGTGTGTCTAGTCTAATGAAGAGAAGGACGAGGGGGGACATGATAGCAGTGTTCCAGTATCTCAGGGCCTGCCCCAAAGAAGAGGGAGTCAAGCTATTCTCCAAAGCACCTGAAGGCAGGACAAGAAGCAACGGATGGAAACTAACCAAGGAGAGAAGCAACGTAGAACTAAGGAGAAATTTCCTGACAGTTAGAACAATTAACCAGTGGAACTACCTGCCTCCAGAAGCGGTGAATGCTTCAACACTGGAAGTTTTTAAGAAGAGACTGGACAGCCATTTGTCTAAAATGGTATAGGGTTTCCTGCCTGAGTAAGGGGTTGGACTAGAAGACCTCCAAGGTCCCTTCAAACTTTGTTGCTTTGTTATTATTGCACCCACTGATCTATAGGTAGTCCTTGACTTACAACAGTTCATTTAGGGAGTAGCATAATGGATATGAATGTATGAATGTCGGCAATGTTTCAAAAGTCTAAAAAGTTTGCAAAGTACTACCAAACGCTGGGGGTTTTCAAAACAGAAATGGAAATGTAAAAAGCACGCCCGTTGCTCAATCTGAGCCTTACCTATGTTTTCACTGAAGATGAGCGAGGTATCCATAGATAGACAATCGATGTCTACCTGCCCTCCTTGAACCCGGTACCAATTTGCCTGTAAATCTACAGAGCCATCAAATTTATCTTGAAAACCCATCGGGGAGCTGTCGTTCATGCCTACAAGGACGTCGTCCAAAGCCCATTGGGCTGAATGCTTTCCTATAAACAAACCGGAGAGAACATGATGGTTAATTCTTTACGCCTGACATTTTTTTTTATTTGAGTCAGTGGTTCTCAACCTTTTTAATGCCACGACCCCAACCGGTCGTAAGTCGAGGACTAAACCGGTCGTAAGTCGAGGACTAAACCGGTCGTAAGTCGAGGACTACCCAACCGGTCATAAGTCGAGGACTTTCCCTGCCCAGGAGCGCCGCGCATGCGTGGTTCTGCCCCCTGCGCCGGCCGAGGCGTAGCTGGCAAGCAGCAGAGACGGAGCAGGCCGACCACCAGCTGGCCCAGCCCAAGGGAGGTAAGGCACCCGCCGGAAAAGGGGAAAAAAATGGCGGACAAAAAAAATGGTGGACAGCCTTGCTTAGCGACCCCCATGAAATGGTCGATCAACCCCAAATGGGGTCCCGACCCACAGGTGGAGAACCACTGATTTAAGTTATGGTCTGGAACCAGTTTGGTGCAGTGGTTAAGGCACTAAACAGGACGCTGCGAGTTCTAATCCCATCTAGACTACTGAGGCAGTTGAAATGGTGTAGGGTTCCTGCCTGAGCAGGGGGTTGGACTCGATGACCTCCAAGGTCCCTTCCAACTTTATTATTATTATTATTATTATTATTATTATTATTATTATTATTATTATTATTATTATTATTATTATTATTATTATTATTATTATTATTATTTATTATTATTTATTATTTATTATTATTGTTGTTGTTGTTGTTATTGTTGTTGTTATTGTTATTATTATTATTATCCCACTTCCAAAAATCTTGCCAAAACTGCCTTGTCCAGGCGGTTGCCAAGGTCAACACTAACACGAAAGCACCAAAAACGACAACGACAACAAAGTTATGGTATTGCATTAACCTGAGTGGTTTTCCCCAAGCAATGAATCTTTGAAAAGGGGCAATCATTTGCAATTCATTTACAATACAGTAAGGGAAATGGATGAGCTTTTAAACAGCTCAGGATGAAAAATGGAGCCAGTCAGGATCGAATTCCCGGCAGTGGGAATGCAGAATTAGCCTGCAATGCTGCATTCTAACCACTGCGCCAACACGGCTTAGATAGCAATGGCACTTAGACTTATATACCGCTTCGTAGTGCTTTTACAGCCCTCTCTAAGTGGTTTACAGAGTCAGCCCATGGCCCTCAACAATCTGGGTCCTCATTTTACTGACCTCGGAAGGACGGAAGGCTGAGTCAACCTTGAGCTGGTGAGGGATCGAACTGCAGGCAGACGGCAGTCAGCAGAAGTAGCCTGCAGTACTGCATTCTAACCACTGCGCCACCACGACTTAATTTAGAACAAATAAACAATTGGAACGCACGGGAAACAACTCACAGACTAACAATATGTCTTGTTTATAGAGAACGAGCCTTTTCATGCTCATTTACCCAAAGGATACTATCTTTATTAATTAGTCGAACTGAAAAGTTATCCACGCATTATGTGTCGTTGTAGAGAAAGATATTCCTGTTACTTACCATGCTGAGGTTGCCACCACCGAAATGCAGTGGCCGATGTTTTGGCCTTCCGGGGCAGTTCAATAGACACAATCTGTGGTTCTAAGAAAGACAGGAAATCCAGTTCTCGTAGCAAAATCCAGCTTATTCCATTGTCGTTTGAATACTGGATCACAAGTCCTGGGAATCAAGAGGAAACAAAGCATCATTTTAAGGGATCTCATGCGATCTCGTGAGCAGTTAGAAAGTCTGATGGACCTTTTTTTTTTTTTTTTACCGATAGTCCCACAAACACGCAACATTTTGATAAACCCGGAGAAGCCCGTGGCCCGAGAATGACGCCTGAACCCAGAGCTTTTATGCGCAGAATAAAGTTCCCAAGTTGCCAGAGAATAGCGGGTTATTTTTCTTGGGTTTATCTTGTGCAAGATTGTTCTTTTTTTTTACAGTGCTTGGATTGTTCATGAATAAATGATGGCCAACTTTAGGGCCGAGTATAAATCAAAAGGGAAGTAATTTGGAGCCTTCTGCGAATTGAGTTTGCCACGCTTCTTTCGGTATCCCTGATTGCTCATATATTATGAAACCCAGATAGAGAGGTGCTATTGCTGTGTCAGTTGAGAACTAATAACTGAGCATAATTAATCACCAGCAGCCAATAATCAATGCTAGCCTTGCTTTCTCATCGTTTTTAGACATGTCCTGTCAAAACAAAGACATTGCAGTTTCCAAAAGATCCCAATAGTTTAGTGTGGGAAGTCAGCCCCCCAATCCAGAGAAGAAAATATTAAAAGGGCAGAATATATTTCCCTAAAGGATTTTAAAAGCAGAAACCAACCCTGCCCCCACGTCTCTCTATCCCAAGCAGAAATCAAGTCTGCAGAAATGCAGATGATAATCTTGTCAGAAAGACTGGAGTCAGGAAGCTGGGATTAGGAAGAAAGATCCCTAGAATCAACACCAAAAATCTAAGAATCATCAGTCCCAGCCCCAGGGAAGCAGGATATGACCCTTGGGACATAATAGGATTAACCCACCGCCATCAGAATATCAGAAAGGCACACCCAGACTCAGGTCAGAATACGTGACACAGGACATACAAAGCCTGAAACAGGAACAGGAAACTACTCCAAACAAAAGGCTCCAGAGGGTATAAAACCCCACTCCCTACATGTGCTCTCTCTCTCTTTTCTTCCAGAGCCATCTTTCTGTCTGGCTCTCCTCTTCAATAAACTGCAACCTTCTTCCTAAAGCAGTCGCCGTGTCGTTTATTCCCGGCTTGGACTGAACCCTGATGAAGACTTTTCTTTCAACACTAGCTTTCCTTAAACAAAGAATGTCTTCAGCATGGAAATGTGGGAATAAATCAATAAGATTGCATTGGCCTAACAATATTTGTTTACCTCCTCCGATGCTGCAAAGTGTACGGACAAAGCAAAAACTGTCACATGCATAAATATTCAGAAACTATAAATACACAGAAATGAAAAGAAACGTACAATGTTTTCAACTAAGCTATATAATTTTTACCTTCGTTCCTGGCTCGGGGTCTGCTGCAATCTGAACCAGCTTTTTTGCTTCCAATTTGTACATAGAACTGAACTAATCTGTTTTTTTTTAAAAAGAAAAATAAATTAAAAAGGTTAGTTTGGAAGGAAAAAAACATCATTTTAAAGCTTGCAGATTTTTCTAAACAATATAGCTTCCCAGTTAAATATCTTTGGAGATTCCCAGGTCATGATTATCCCAAAGGTGTTTTTTTCATGAGGCAGCTGGACTTTCTTGCTTTTCTTTGAAGATGTTTCGCTGCTCATACAAGAAGCTTCTTCGGCTCTGACTGGATGGCGGGGGAATGGAAAGACTTATACTCCTTGCAGACAGCTGGTCATTTACAAATGCAAGGAGTACAAATCCTTCCATTCCCCTGCCATCCAGTCAGAGCCGAAGAAGCACTGCCTGGCTGAGGAATTCTGGGAGTTGAAGTCCACAAGTCATAAAAGGGCCAGGTTTGAAGACCTTTGGTCTATCATATCTACTGTATCTGTCTGTCTGTCTGTCTAATTATCTATCTATCTATCTATCTATCTATCTATCTATCTATCTATCTATCTATCTATCTATCTATCTATCTATCTATCTATCATCTTTCTCTCTTATCCATCTATCTACTCTATCTCTCAATATCTTTATCTAGTCTATTTATCTCTATCATCTATCATCTATCTATCATCTATCTATCATTTATCGCAAGGGTCTTCAAACTTGGCCCTTAACCCTAAGTGGAATTTTCCTCCAGTGGGATTTTCCCATGTATTTTACCAGGAAACATAGATAGGGCAGCCTAGAAAAGTCAGTGCCCTCCTAACCATGCCAGTTTGGGCACTCGGTCTCTAAAAGGTTCGCCATCACTGATATAGAGGCTGACCTGATGCCAGTGGTATCCAGAGAGACTGTCCGCGCTTCCCTTTTGCCCGGACCTCCAAAATAAAGAGATTTCCCATCATTCACTATTCCACAGCCGTTTCCAACATGCGCTCCGGTTATCTTGTACCAAAGGGGACTCAGCTTCTTCTCAAATCTGTCAAACATCTCGCTGGGGTTAGGTGCATTAAAGACACAGGTCCCATGTGAAGCTTCGGCAAAGGGAATAAATAAACAAACAAACAAACAAATAAATAAATAGGAATACATTTTAGAAAAAAGTCTTCAATGCAAAGGCCAAGAACTGGAAAATGAACATTATATATGCAGCGCATTATATTAGGACAGGGGTCTTCAAACGTGGCCCTTTTATGACTTGTGGACTTCAATTCCCAGAATTCCTCAGCCAGCGTGCCTGGCTGAGGAATTCTGGAAGTCCACAAGTCATAAAAGGGCCAAGTTTGAAGACCCCTGTATTAAGAATACAATATACTACATTGGCATGTATTGGTGTCTCTTGTGAAAGCTGAAGATCAGCACATTCCATCATTCCCAGATGATGGAATTCTGCAAGTCTCACAATTCTCCATTTAGTTACGTTAAAGTTAGGGGTCCGGGAGGCTAACCTTTTAGCAGGGGGTCTCCAAACTTGGCAACTTTAAGACTTGTGGGCTTCAACTCCAGCATGGCTAGCTGGGGTTTGTAGAAGAAGAAGAAGAGGAGGACAGTGACTATGGGGTCCTTGGTGCTCTCTGAGCTGGGTGGTTTCCTTGCAGACGTCTCATGACCCAACTAGGTAACATCATCAGTGCTAGAAGGAAGTGGGATGTGTGGAATAGAGGGGAAGGAGAAGAGGGGGAGAAGGACTGAGGGGTCCTTGGTGCTCTCTGAGCTGGGTGGTTTCCTTGTAGACATCTCATGACCCAACTAGGTAACATCATCATTGCTAATAGGAGGTGGGGTTTGCTCTCAGTTTATATTCTAATGGCTTGCCCTGAAGTGGTCTTAGTGATTCTTTGGTTGGGCTGTTTACTGTTGGCTTGGTTGGCAATTCCTTAATTGGGGCATTGTTTATTTGATTGTTGGTCTGATGTTAACCTTGGAGTTAACCTGTTCTCATCTTGGTGCTGATTGCTGGTGGAGACATGTGTGGGTCTTTTGGTTCCTTTTGTGGACCCGGCAGCTGAGTCTGAGGAATCAGAGGAGGAGGAGGGTCCTGGAGTGACATCAGAGTCAGAGGAAGGCTCTGAGTAGCTCCAAGACTTACAGTCGGACAAGGAGCCTGGCCCCTCTACTCGCGCTCAGGCTGAGACACAGCTGTGTTGGGAGCCTGAGTTAGACAGTGATGAAGAACAGCTGGGACAAATCCCGGATGCACGATAGCGCAGGCAAGAGAAGCGAGTAGGACAGAGGGATGCAATGGGGCGGCTCCAAAGGCAAAGGAGAAGGCATTAGGAAGCCACGCCTTGGCTGCATAATAAAAGGGAAGGTATGGGAGGTGCTGGTGGCCAAAGGCCACCATTCGTGTTGAGGATCGAGGTTCTGTGAACTGTGTTTGTTTGCCTTGGACATCGACTCAGGTCTGTGAATAATAAAAGGGGATTGGTTTTTTCCTGCGGTTCCAGCCTGCTTGTTGGAAGAGGGGTTTCTCCTTGTGAGCTTAACAAGGACTCAACTTTTGGGGCTGGGTGATTGTCTCTTTTGCATCGTCGATAGATATTGTTAATGTCTATGTGTCTATTGATGGCTAATTTGTCAAGAGTGCCAGGCCTCTAGAAATTCCCTGGCATTTTTGGACTGGAATGAATTGTTCTGAGCCAACGGTTTCATGCAGAAATTCATAGCGACTCTACACACCCAAGCTTACCTGTGTAGGCCATGTCACAAAAACAGACCCCAGAAATGCAGTCTCCGTGGCCACTGCAGTAGCTGGGACACGCTTCTGAAATGTAGACTCCATCTAAGCCAAATGGAGGCAGGCTCTTTTGGGAGCTGCTCTCTTGCATCCAGCGGAATCTGGTTTTCCTGCAGGAGAGGAACAGAAAGAGCGAAGGCATTTCCGGTTTCTTTAAAAAGGCGTGTTCCAGTTTGCAAAGGTTTTACCCTCCAAAAACATATCTAAGTTGCTTTCTGGGCTCAAATATCTCCAGCACAACCACAGAACATGTTCTGTGGAACAATGGAATGAGCATAATTGTACATAATAATAATAATAATAATAATGATGATGATGATGATGATGATGATGATGATGATGATGATGATGATGATGATGTTGGAAGGGACCTTGGAGGTCATCTAGTCCAATCCCCTGCTCAGGCAGGAAACCCTATACCATTTCGGACAAATGGCTGTCCAGTCTCTTCTTAAAGACTTCCAGTGTTGGAGCATTCACCACTTCTGGAGGCAAGTTGTTCCACTGGTTAATTGTTCTCACTGTCAGGAAATTTCTCCTTAGTTCCAAGTTGCTTCTCTTCTTGATTATTTCCCATCCGATGCTTCTTGTCCTGCCTTCGGGTGCTTTGGAGAATAGCTTGACTCCCTCTTCTTTGGGGCAGCCCCTGAGATACTGGAAGGCTGCTATCATGTCCCCCCTCGTCCTTCTCTTCATTAAACTAGATATACCCAATTCCAGCAACCATTCCTTATATGTTTTAGCCTCCAGTCCCCTAATCATCTTTGTTGCTCTTCTCTGTACTCTTTCTAGAGTCTCAACATCTTTTTTACATCATGCTGACCAAAACTGGATACAGTATTCTAAGTGTGGCCTTACCAAGGCCTTGTAAAGTGGTATTAACACTTGACGTGATCTTGATTCTATCCCTACTCTACTCTACCCTACCGTCCCATCTCATCCCCCCTCCCATCTCATCTCATCTCATCTCATCCCTTCCCCTCTCATCCCTTCCCCTACTCTACCCTCCCTTCCCTTTTCCTCCCCTCCTCTCCCCTGTCCTATCATCCCATCCCATCCCATCTCATCCCATCCTCTACTCTACCCTACTCTACCCTACTCTATCCTACCCTCTCATCTCATCTCATCCCCTTCTCTACCCTACCCTCCCATTTCATCCTATCCTATCCCATCTCATCTAATCTCCTCCCATCCCATCCCATCCTTTTACCCTATTCAATACACGTACAACCAATAGCCTCAATGGTAGGGAAGCAATGCCCTCTCATCTACTCTTTAAAAAGAAAATCCCCCCAAATTGGGTAATCTGAATTTAGACATTGGCATCCTACAATTGAAGGAGTCCCAACAAAACGTGGCACGATCAAACACGCTATCAACCACGAAATTCGACAGATAGATTTAGCTGGTATATCGACGGAAATACCACATGAAAATCTATATATTGCTCTGAACAGGTTGGGGACAGAATTGATGTACCACGAAGAAATGTTCCCCAGACACCCTACAGTTTTGAATAGACTCCATTAGCATTAATGGAACTGATTCCCAAGGGAATATTTTTTGATCCGGGTGCAAATTTGTCACAAGTTATAGCCAACTGTTGTAGCCTAGCCTACAGGGAAGACGCACAATAATGTCCCATCTGCAATTGCAATCAATAAATGCAATGATGTTGATTAACTTGATTAGAATTCTTTGAGAGTGGAGAAATGTTGTTTCGAAGCTGGCGCCTAGTCCCAGTTATATGACAGACATAACGCGAAACAGGCTGCCTCTGTCGATTGGGTCCTGTTTCTGTTGCGCAAAGCCATCTCATTAGTGTCTGTGCGACTTGGCAACTGTGTTAGTTGGCTAATTGAAGGAAAATACTTTGAGTAGAATGCTCGCTGTTTTATGTGATTTAGTCCTACCACGAAGACTCTCAGTTCTCTACACTACGCAGCCTGCCTTGTGCTGTAATTATTTGTTGACGGAGGAACAGAAGGAGCCTGTCTAAAAACACTTAGACAAGAAGATAAAATACATTTGGCCAGGTTGTTAAACAATAGAGAAGAGCTACAAAATTTTAAAAAATAAACATTGCAAGTACAGATCTGTTTGTTACATTTTTAGCTATTGCAGTAATATCAGCTTGAAAGAGGAGAAGACCTTGGTTATGATTCCGAACAAAACAGAAGAGAATAACAGACTTGGAAGGGACCTTGGAGGTCATCTAGTCCAACCCCCTGCGAGGCAGGATACCCCATATCATTTCAGACAAATGGCTGTCCAATCTCTTCTTAAAAACTTCCAGTGTTGGAGCATTCACTGCTTCTGGAGGCAGGTTGTTCCACTGGTTAATTGTTCTAACTGTCAGGAAGTTTCTCCTTAGTTCTAGGTTGCTTCTCTCCTTGGTGAGTTTCCATCCATTGCTTCTTGTCCTGCCTTCAGGCGCTTTGGAGAATAGCTTGACTCCCTCTTCTTTGGGGCAGCCCCTCAAATACTGGAGCATTGCTATCATGTCCCCCCTCGTCCTTTTTTCCATTAAACTAGACATACCCAATTCCAGCAACCGTTCCTTATATCTTTTAGCCTCCAGTCCCCTGATCATCTTTGTTGCTCTGAGTAGCCATCCAGATATATCTAATGCAACAACATCTGCATATAAATTTAATACATTATTATCTTACAGAGATGACTCATTTGATTTGTAGAGCTTCCTGCTCCCTCCATATATATTTTTTTTTCTGGCCCCAAAATTATATCTAAAGAAAAAAAAGAGAATGCTAGGCATGGAAAAAAAAGACAGTTATTTATCCCAACAGGCTCTAAAATTTAAGTTTTAGGCTCCGTCCCCGTGCAATAAATTCTGTGCCTGGTATTCTTACTTTATTACTGATAGTAGTAACTGCATTTATTCATCCAGGAAAAAAATAAAAACAAATGCAGAGGTATGAATTTAAATCCACAAATGGCTTGATTACCTAGCAGCGAGTGACCTCGGGATGACGATGGTGACCCTCGTCCACTCTTCAAAGTCTCCCGCATAGTACATGGTGGGCTCTGTCAATTCCCTGCTGCTTCCTTCGCATCCTTTCACCCCAGGGGATGCTGGGAAGCAGCTCTCCTTCACTAATGACCAAGACAAGCCAGCATCGTGGGAATACTGAAGAAGAACTGGAGCAGAACTGCTGAACTGGTCCGTGCAGCCGATGTTTAGCTGCAAAGTTTAAAACAGGTCGGAGGCGTAGAAAAAAATAGAATGGTTAAAGAAAAGACATCATCATACTGTGTGGGAAATCAGCCCCTCCCCCCCGAGAAAGAAATATTTTTGGAAATATTTAAAAGGCAGAATATATTTCCCTAAAGGATTTTAAAAGCAGAAACCAACTCTGCCCCCAAGTCTCTCTGTCCCAAACAGAAACCAAGTCTGTAGAAATGCAAATGATAATCTCGTCAGAAAGACCGTAGTCAGGAAACTGGGATTAGGAAGACAGATCCCTAGAATCAACACACCAAAAATCTAAGAGTCATCAGCCACAGCCCCGGGGAAGCAGGATATGACCCTTGGGACATAATAGGATTAACGCACCACCATCAGAATACCAGAAAGGCACACTCAGACTCTGGTCAAAGTTCCTGCCACAGGAACAACTCCAAACAAAAAGCTCCAGATGGTATAAAAACCCACTCCCTACATGTGCTCACTCTCTCTTTTCTTCCAGAGCCATCTTCCTGTCTGGCTCTCCTCTTCAATAAACTGCAACCTTCTTTCTAAAGCAGTCTCCATTTTGATTATTCCCGGCTTGGACTGAACCACGATGAAGACTTTTCCTTCAACAACTGATAGACACAGGAGTGCATCAGTCTGTTTTTAATTTTGAATACACACCTTTATTCCGATCCTTTGTTTCATAATGACTTGCATTTTTTTTAAAAAAACAACCACATATATGCAGACCTTTTTTTCCCCCTTTAAAACACAAGTGTGTTTAAATATTTAACTCCAAAACATTCAGTGACAGAAGGAACAGTGTACATTTCATTCGGGGCTCTCATGCATAGATGTGCAAACGGGAAATTAGAATCTTTAGAATAACAGAGTTGGGAGGGGCCTTGTAGGTCATCTAGTCCAACCCCCCGGCCAAGCAGGAGACCCTACACCATTTCTGACAGTCTCTTCTTGAAAGCTTCCAGTGATGAAGCTCCCACAACATCTGAAGGCAACGTCTGTTCTGTTGGTTGACTGTTCTTACTGTCTAATAATAATAATAATAAAGTTGGAAGGGACCTTGGAGGTCAGCTAGTCCAACCCCCTGCTCAGGCAGGAAACCCTATACCATTTCAGACAAATGGCAGTCCAGTCTCTTCTTAAAAACTTCCAGTGTTGGAGCAGTCACTGCTTCTGGAGGCAGATTGTTCCACGGGTTAATTGTTCTAACTGTCAGGAAGTTTCTCCTTAGTTCCAGGTTGCTTCTCTCCTTGATTAGATTCCATCCGTTGCTTCTTGTCCTGCTTTCAGGTGCTTTGGAGAATAGGTGGACCCCCTCTTTTTTGTGGCAGCCCCTGAGATACTGGAAGGCTGCTATCCTGTCCCCCCTCGTCCTTCTCTTCGTTAAACTAGACATACCCAATTCCAGCAACCGTTCCTTATATGTTTTAGCCTCCAGTCCCCTGATCATCTTTGTTGCTCTTCTCTGCACTCTTTCTAGAGTCTCAACATCTTTTTTACATCATGGTGACCAAAACTGGATGCCCTATTCCAAGCGTGGCCTTACCAAGGCCTTGTAAAGCGGTATTAACACTTCACCTGATCTTGATTCCAGCCCTCTGTTAATGCAGCCTAGCACAGTGTTGGCGAATCACTCCAGATGTTAACCTAGTAATCCCGGTTGTAAAGAGAACCTGGCTTTCCCCCATTGACTTTGCTTGTCAGAAGGTCGCAAAAGGGGATCACGTGACCCGGGGGCAGCGCGACCGTCACAAATACGAGTCAGTTGCCAAGCGTCTGAATTTTGATCACGTGACCGTGGGGGGGGGGAATGCTGTGACGGTCGTGTGAAAAACGGCGGTAAGTCCCTTTTTGCGTGCTGCTGTGACATCGAACAGTCGCTACATGGATCAGGACTCCCTGTCCTTTGCCCTCCACTGACTTTTTATTTTTATGATCGACAATTTATTCCAATTTAAGTATCGGCATTGTTTCAGAGACCGCAGCGCGGCGGCGTTTTGCGAAAAGAACTCGTGACACGTGACCGTCTTTTAACAGACTACATTAGGAAAAAACCTGCCACAAACATTATCTGCAAACAGAACGCTTCTCAGCTTGTGTATCATTTCACCCGCGCAATGTCAAAACAGAGGGAGATTATTTTACCAAGTCCCCCTTGCAGTTGCCAGCTCCCCTATTTATAGAAGAGTGGGAATTATATTTGAAAACTTGCTTGTAAACATGCAGCGATTTTAATAATTCTGCTTGTCAATTTTTTTTCCCGTGCCTGCAGTTTTCTGTGCCGGCACCTTGTTCAATTTCTATTGCCATCGATCCCAAGAATTTGCAGAGGAATTTAATTATGAACTTAATGAAAAGTTGATTGCAACTAAGAAGTGGCAGTTTGCCTAAAGTGACAAAGCTTTTGTGTGAATCTAACCTTATCCTGGGGAAAATAGAAAAGGGGAAAGGAGCATGGGTAGGTCTGCATCCTTGAGTTGTATACGAAAAAAAGTAAGATAAAAAAAATCTAAAAAAATAGAATAGAATAACAGAATAGAATAGGAATAGAATAGATATTGGAAAATAGAATAGAATAGAATAGAATAGAATCTGGAATAGAATCTGGAATAGAATAGAATAGAATAGAATCTGGAATAGAATAGAATAGAATAGAATAGAATGGACCATCAAGGAATCTGAATCTTCGCATAATGTATCCAAAATATGATAATTTGAGCCTGGTCATTGGGTCTTGAATGAGAATTCTGCATTGATTTGTGGTATCATCCATTTAATTTGTTTTCTTGCGTATCCATGGTATTTTCTGGAATTACTCTAACACAGGGGTCTTCAAACTTGGTCCTTTTATGACTTGTGGACTTCAACTCCCAGAATTCTTCAGCCAGACTCCATTTTGTTTGTTAGATTTAAGACAGGGGTCTTCAAACTTGGCCCTTTTATGACTTGTGGACTTCAACTCCCAGAATTCCTGAGCCAGCCTCCATTTTGTTTGTTAGATTTAAGACAGGGGTCTTCAAACATGGCCCTTTTATGACTTGTGGACTTCAACTCCCAGAATTCCTTAGCCAGCCTCCATTTTGTTTGTTAGATTTAAGACAGAGGTCTTCAAACTTGGCTCTTTGATGACTTGTGGACTTCAACTCCCAGAATTCCTCAGCCAGACATGCCTATCTGAGGAATTCTGGGAGTTGAAGTCCACAAGTCATAAAAGGGCCAAGTTTGAAGACCCCTGCTCTAACGCAACGAGTCAATATTCTTCCTATCCTACTTCTTCAAAGTCCAACTTATGCTTCCCCCAGACAGACACACGTAATACCTGAATATTTTTTTCCCAATGCTTTCATTGTTATATGACCAAACAATTTATTAACCGCTCCTAAGTTTCCCTTCAGTTTTTACGCCATACATATTTTGTAGAGCAAGATTTGACCTTTTTAAAGAAGTCAGGAAAAGGACTCAGTACGAAGGTCAGAGAGATACATTTACATTAAAAACAAACTTTCAGTTTTGGATTTTGTTTTTCCATAATGGACAATTTGCAATCTTATCGTCAACGTGCAGGCTTTTTACAGGGATACCTTAATAAAACATTTTAATTTAAAATATTTTAAAAAAAGAGAGAGAATACCTTGAACTGAAGGACATAACCTGGTTTCAGTACTAAATCCCGGGTCACTGCAAACCGATCACCATCTGACTTGCCAAAGATCATCGCGGACGGGGTCGCCGAACAAAAAGTTTCGTTTTTGGGCATCCCTTCGTTCGCTAACATTAGCCACATGCTGAGCTGGTTCATGGGGTAATCAAATGCTGGTTTCTCATAAAAATTCTAGTTGAAATTTGAAAAAGGAAAGAAAGAAAGAAAGAAAATCTTTCAGCAGTTCCAAGAAAGCTCCACACCCATCTGCACCACTCAGGTGACCCTGAGGGCACAGGTAAACCCCCAGGTGGCCTCAATGACTCTCTAAAACAGGCATGTCAAACTCGCGACGTCATGTGACGTCGCGCAACGTATCGGGCCGATTTTGCCATTGCCGGCAATGGGGTGGGCGTGGCTTCCACGTGACGCGTCCGGCCTGTGGGCCGGCAGTTTGACACCCCTGTTCTAAAAGAAGGCAAATGACCAGCTGTCTGCAAGGAGTATAAATCTTTCCGTTCCCCACCATCCAGTCAGAGCGGAAGAAGCTTCTGGGATGAGAAGCGAAACGTCTTCAAAGGAAAAACAAAGAAAGTCCAGTTGCCTTGTGAAAAAAGCACCTTTGGGACAACCATGACCGGTATGACTGAGAATCTCCATAGACCAGGGGTAGGCAACCTTGGCTCTTTTATGACTTGTGGACTTCAACTCCCAGAATTCCTGAGCCAGCATGGCTCAGCTTGGAAACCTCCCCCTTTCCCCTCAGCATGACTGGCTCAGGAATTCTGGGAGTTGAAGTCCACGAGTCATAAAAGAGCCAAGGTTGCCTACCCCTGCCATAGACCTATTGGAGCTGACATCCACACATCTTAAAAGTTGCCGAGTTTAAAAACAACAACAAACTCTGGTGGTCTGGGCTAACCTTTTCTCAAAGACCGTGTGAGTCTCGTTCAACCTTATTTACCTACCTGAGGCAAAGTGGGGTTGGCCACAGGGATGATCTGTTTCAGTTTTTCAGACAGAATGATGACGTCGTCAATAGCCCACTGGTCATATCCTTCTCCCGAAAACAGTGGCTGCCACCAACGGAATCGCGTGCAGGGCGTCTTCGCAGCCGGAGGAAGCTCCAGGTAGACAAACCTACCGGCAGACATTGCTCAATGCGTTAAAAGCAACAGGTAAACGCAAATATAACAAATACAACAAAGATGATTAGGGAACTGGAGGCTAAAACATATAAGGAACGGTTGCTGGAATTGGGGATGTCTAATTTAGTGAAGAGAAGGACAAGGGGGGACATGATAGCAGTGTTCCAGTATCTCAGGGGCTGCCCCAAAGAAGAGGGAGTCAAGCTATTCTCCAAAGCTCCTGAAAGGCAGGACAAGAAGCAACGGATGGAAACTAATCAAGGAGAGAAGCAACCTGGAACTAAGGAGAAACTTCCTGACAGTGAGAACAATTAACCAATGGAACAACCTGCCTCCAGAAGCGGTGAATGCTCCAACATTGGAAGTTTTCAAGAAGAGACTGGATAAACCATCTGTCTGAAATGGTATAGGGTTTCCTGCCTGAGCAGGGGGTTGGACTCGACCTCCAAGGTCCCTTCCAACTTTATTATTGTTATTATAAAAAGGATACCAGGGAAGGGGAACAAAAACTGTTTGAAATGAAAAAGATTAAACGTTAAAATTTCAAATATTAATGGAAAATTAAAATTAAGAAAAATGTATTAGGTCGTTGGCTGTCCAAAAGATGGAATATTCCATGAATTAAGATTTGTATAAACTGAAAATTATTGATGAATGCTAGAAAGTTATTTTCTGTTTGATAGATAAAATAAGAATTATGTTGGATTAGGATTTAGATTTGTAATGGAGATGAAAATTATTAGATTATAGTTTGGAATAGCAATATGGAAAAGGTTTTGAGATAATGGAAGTTACTATATCAGTAAGTGAGGAGTTATTAGGATATGAAATAGAACATATACGTGAAATAGAGTAAGAATGTAATTTTTGGAATAGAAAATGTATTAATCTGAAATGTAGAAATGTATTAATCTGAATATGTCATATTAATTAAGGGAAATAGAGAGGGAACTTTTAAGGAGTTAACCTGAGGTATATATGTATGATTTCGTTATTGGATAATTGATTACCCCATCACCACGTTGTTTCCTAAGCCCTTGGATGGTAAAAAATTGAAAAATTAATAAAACTTGTTTTTTTTAAAAAAAAGAATTACGTTGGTTTGAATATGAGACAGTACATATTAAGGGGGAAAAAGAGGGAATTAGTCGCCGTAAAACTTTTGAGATTTTGTACGGATGATATTTAAATGGAATGGAACGATTGTACTCAGCCGCCACGTTGCTTTTCAAATATGCAAATGTAATATTAGAAAATTAATAAAAATTTAAAAAATTGTTTGAACCAACACAAGTTAAATACAGATAATAAAAATTGCAACTGGCACAAGCCAAACTGTTCCATTTCATTGAAGGCTGCAGCTATAATAATATTTAATAAAATGATATTTAATAAAAATAATATTTAATAATAATAATAATAATAATAACAATAATAATAATAATAATAAAAGTTGGAAGGGACCTTGGAGGTCATCTAGTCCAACCCCCTGCTCAGGCAGGAAACCCTATACCATTTCGGACAAATGGCTGTCCAGTTTCTTCTTAAAAACTTCCAGTGTTGGCACATTATTATTAATTATTATTATTAATACTAATAGCAATAGAGTTGCAAGGGACCTCGCAGATCTTCTCAAAGGCCAGGAACGTGGAGGCCAATCTCCCCTCCAACAGGAGAATATTCCAGAAGGCAGGGGCCAAGGCAGAAAAGGCTCTTCTCCTGAACCTCCCACCAAAAGTTTTTAGCCAATGGGATCCAAAGGTGGAGCGAGACATGGGCCAATCCCATCCGGGCAAAACAGCTCCTCAGATTTGAACGTAAGGCTAACAACGCTGCTGTCGGTAAGCATCAACACTCTTCAGCAATGGCGTGAATCGGTACCTGGACTTGCTGAAGTCCGAGAAGTACATTTCCGCCAGGGCGTGCCAGGTGATGCCTCCGTTGTTGCTGTATTGTAAGAGGACCCCTTCTTCTCTGCTGTCTGGTCTGTTGCAGGAGGGGCTCTCTCCGCCGATCTGAATGTAAAACTGGACAAAATCTACCCAGGTGGTGTCCAGATCCAAGCTCACCAACTGCCTCTTCCCACCCTGGAGCATGTAAGGAACAAGAAGAAAAAAAGCATTGATGATATTGATGATGATGATGTTGGTGGTGGTGGTGATGATGTTATCCAATCTCACACAGTGGACAACCCTAAGTAGTAAAATCTACAGGGTGTCTCAAATTGCAAGTGGGCCCATGTACTGTATGGGACAGGTTCTCTCTGTCTGTCTCTCTCTCACTCTGTCTGTCCATCCGTCCGTCCGTCCGTCCGTCCATCCATCCACCTACCTACCTACCTACCTACCTACCTACCTACCTACCTACCTACATCTATCTATCTATCTATCTATCTATCTATCTATCTATCTATCTATCTATCTATCTATCTATCTATCTATTCATCCCCCCACCCACCCCTCTATCTTCTACCTATCTTCTACCTATCTATCTATCTATCTATCTATCTATCTATCTATCTGTCTGTCTGTCTGTCCGTCCGTCCGTCCGTCCGTCCGTCCGTCCGTCCGTCCGTCCGTCCATCATCCATCCATCCATCCATCCATCCATCCATCCATCCACCCACCCACCC